ATTAATTGTAATTTAAATGTAAATTTCCCATGGGAAAGTTTTCTTGTTTGGAAAATAAACAGATGATAAGGAAACTTGGGGGAAGAGATCCATTAATACAATGGAGCAATAGTATGTGACTATAGAAGAGTTTTAGGTGGTTTGGGAGCAGTGCACCCAGAAATTACTGAAAATACTGTCTGACAGTTTAATAGAGAATATAGGAGAACAACAGATTTCATTGGAGAAAACGGAGATTGAGGCCGATTGAATGTGAATTTGGAGTTTAAAAAATGCCAGATTAGTGATTTGGAAAAAGATGTTGTGGATCTGAAAATGGAAAATGATGCTAATAGGGATTTACAGATGAAAGGGGACATATAAATAATAAACCAGAAGAGTGATTTGAAAAGTTGTCTTATTATGGATTTACAGAAGGGATGTGTTAATTGAATGAAGCTGTTCCTGAGAAGACACAGAAACTATTGAGGCTGTTCTTGAAAGAAGACAAAGAGAAAATGATAAGCAACCAATGTGTGAGACATTATTTGTCAAGATTAAAGAGTAAACTTTTTAAAAGTAAGAAGAAGGTTTATAAAGTGAATTTATTTGACTATGGTTAAAATATAAGTTGTGGTTTCTGGTAGTTACAAATGGGACTTCTTTTTGACCAGGACTGAAGGATGAGGTTTTTAGGATTTGCGTGTAAGTGGGGAGAGATTTCTTTTACTTTACTTTTTAGAGGAAATGATACACTGGATTATAAACTGGATTTCTTTGATTATGGTTAAAATACATATGTTATTATCTCTGGTAGCCCTAAATGGACTTTTGGTGATTAGGATTGAAAGATGAATTTTTACAATTTGATTATTGATAAGAGATGAGATATGGGAAGAAATACATATGTTATTATCTCTGGTAGCCCTAAATGGACTTTTGGTGATTAGGATTGAAAGATGAATTTTTACAATTTGATTATTGATAAGAGATGAGATATGGGAAGAAGAGAATTCTTTTATGAAATACTTGAGAAGGTGTTAAATTACTGAAGCTGTTTATACTTGTCTGGAGTGAAGGGGAATTCATCTTTTATATATCTTTTTTTTTCCTTTCTTTTCTCTGTCTCTTTGCACTTCTCTTTTTTCTTTTTTTTACTCTTTATAATTTCTTTAGTTTGTATTTTTTATCCTTGTATTTGAAAACTTGAATAAAAATTATTATAAGAAAAAAGTAATTTAGTCACAGTCCCCTAATTATGAGCCTAGAGTAGATGAAATATATCTCTGTCCAGATAATTTTAAGCAAATGTTAGTCCAGTTAGTTTCAGTGAAGTGGATGAACTCTTGATGTGCACATGGAACTTACATGAGTTCTGATGAACTTTTCATCTTACTGTATAGTCTACTCTGACTGTCAGAGGCTTTCTGAGAACTCATGAAAAGGCACTTTTCTTTCACCCTTTGAATTAGTGATATTACAAGATGCATATGTATCATTCTGCCAAGCATGTGCTCAGCTACCAAGTCATAAGTCTCTCCCAAATGCTTTCTTAATGTTGAAAATTAAGAAGCATAGAAATGCTAATTGTTAGATGAATTGGTTATTGTTTGGGTATACTTTTGAAGAGGAAGAAAGGGTTTTGTGTAGTTTCCGACAGGATTATGCAGATGAGACATTAGTGGAACATAGCATTAAAACTTGCCAAGCCACCCACAGTGTGGTAGCCTTCAGAGGTGTTTCTGCCATGCTTGCTAAGAATGTTATAAATTGTTATCCCAAAATGTCTGGGGAGTACTATGTTTAGGAAAAATATTCTAGTCTGCTACTGGAAGTATTGCATTCTAATGCACTTTGATTTTTTTTTCTAAATAATTCATACTTGGAAATACATATGACAGACTGATTAATGCATAATTGAAGTAAATATCTTAGCAGTTGCCTGCAGTGAAGTTGTCTGCTTATATTAATGCTATGGGGAAAAATCCATATGTCATTCTTAATAAAGTTGGAAGAGTTCAGATGTATAAATGCTTAAGTGTGGAACTACAAGTTAATATATGTACCTAAATATTCCAGAATAATGTTAATCTACCCTAATCAAAGTTAAAATAAGTCTACTTTTAGTGCAAATGATTTGAGAGATACAGTATATAATAAATATATTGCTGCATATTAATATAATGTAAGCAATATATATATATATATTGCTGCATATTGCTGCTTTAGAACTATGCTGTGTATTGACTGAAATCTTGTTAATTCCTTGTTTCAGCAAGTCAAGTACATAGATGCTTTGGCTGGTAATAGCTAAAAAACTTTTTATGACAGAGCTTTTATCATCTTAATTCCATGTTTTTCTTCCTGTTTTTGTGAATTTATAATTTCTGTTCCATATCTAGAAATGGTGGATATTGTCACTGATTTGGTTTGTATACTGAATAAGACATAATATGCATCTATTTTTGTTTGCATTCACATATCATGTTAAGTTTAAAAACAAAAACAAAAAACTTCAGAAATAACCAGCACCTCTTCTGAAGAAAAATTCACTAATTTGAGTAGTAATGAGACTCATCTTCAGAATGTCAACACCAGTGATAAAACGTAAGGAGGAGAATTTGTGTCACACAGATGTTTGTGCTAAGGAATCCATTGCTCGTACAGCTATTTGAATTTTGTTTTCTGTGCAGTCTGAAACCCTGATAGCACAGAATTTGAGAATTATATAAACATAATAATATGCATAGATGTATGTGTGAAGGTTCTTGTAATACAGTCATCCATGCTGTGTATATAGGTATCTACTCTTAACTTTTGTGTATATAGATATCTGTGTATATAGATATGTACTCTTAACTTTTCTAGTTAATATAATCTCTGATATGGCTATTATCGCTGTCATGATTAGACCAGCCTTCTCTAACTAAGGATAATTAAAAAAAAAAAAAAGCAATTGGAAACTGGTTCATTCAATTGAATTTCAATTATTAGTTTTAGAATTTTTGTTTTTCTGTGTGGTAGGCCTGTAGGATAGAAGATTGGAGACCCCAAATTTCATCTCCAGAAGCACTTTAAATCTTCTCATCCTGGATCCACTTCTTGCTTTGGGGTGATGGCCTTGTAGTTCCTGTCCATCTATCCTCCTGGAAGCATGTCTAGGACTTTCATATCTGGGGCTGCCCTTCTGATAATTAACAACTTAAGATGCAAATATAGAAATATTTTTTTAGCGGAGCATTGTAGCACAGAAGTATGGTTTCTAGAGGATTCAGCTGTTTGTTTTCCCCTTGGGAGATAAACAAAATTATTTATTTATAAAGAAAAACATGTAGAATGCTCTATTTGCTTCATTATTAAAATGCAGATGTGAACAAAATTATAGTGTAGCCCAGAACATAGTAATACAGCAATCTGCAGATTAAGTTAAGAAAAATCCAAGACAAAATGTGATTTTTGGACAGACCACAACATGGGCCTGGTCTAATACAAATTGAGAGATCTCTGCCCAAAATATTTAGAATACAAGATGTATAGAGAATTCAAAACAATGCAGAAGACAAGAAGACTCTAAAGAAAAAAATATTTTATCTTAATGAACATAGACTGAGATATGTGTAAGGCTGAAATCAAACATTCAATTTCATAACTTGCACAGAGTGATAAAAGACTTGAAACTTAGCATAACAGAGCAAACAGAAGAACATAAACCAGAAACCTAGTGAAAATTCGTGGCTACACATTTATTTCTACAGTCCTGAAGTAAGTGGCCCTTCAGAGTTCCTGAACTCCAACTTCTTGGAGAACTTCCATCAGAAGCTATTGGGGATAGGAAAACCCCATCCTTGCTCAGACTCTTTCCACAGACTTCTTTCTGAAAGAAAGGCAAAACTAATAGCCATCTCACTGGTAAGGACAGTGTGCAAATCTATAGTTCCCAGTCCAGCAAACTTTTTTTTAGTGTTTGCTTTTTTAGGATTATCTGATTGGCACAGTAAAAAGCAACAGTAAAATCCTTAAAACAATTTACAAGACAAAGTTTTATTTTTGAATATGAATTATACTTCCCTATAACTGAGCAGAGGTGCATATATGCATATAAAGTTAGTTTATATTATATAATATTCTTTGGGGGAGCAATCTGAGATAGAACAATTTGAATGATGAAACTTGTAAATGTAATACAGTAGTTAAGTGAATGCTTGTTGTTTGTTACTCTTATTTTTAAATTTTGCATTAAAGCATTATGGATCCTTGTTAAAGACACAAAACTCCAGTAGTATTTAGAAGGTATTTGTATTTAGAGAGGAACTGAAAATTATTTTTTGTCAACTTGAAAGGCCAAGACTCCTTCAGCATGAGCTGATCAATGTACTTTGGAGTGGGGGCATTCATGAAAAACCTGAGCAGATATAGAGTTATGATGACCAGAATTTTGGTTATGGTATTTCTAGTGATTTATGTTTCTTAATTTTATAAACTGTGCCTGATCTTAATAGTATATTTTAAAAGAAAATACATTGTGTTGTAGTAAGGATATTTGAAGCAAGTTGTACTGAATTGTTAAAATGTTTTCTGTGATTTCCTTAAAGGTAGAGTATGGTGGTGCAAGAGACATTTGTCACTGGTGAAATTCAGTGATCTACTTACGTTTTTGCAAACTCATCCTGAAAATCTATTCCTGAGGAGTTCAGGAAGTCTATAAATCTGTATCTGAGGGAACATTAAAGGGTGGCTCTAGACTATAGAAGATTTGAAGTCCCACTTCACAAGCAGATTCTGTTTATTATTGGATTTGCCTTGTGAGGAAATCACCAAAACACCTTGATTCATCCATTTGTTTAGCAACTATTACAGCAGCTATTTGAGCTGTTACTATACAGACACCTTGCAGATGGTTTCTTATATGAGAACTATAATATGAACCCCAATTTTTATCAACTATATGTAAAATAATCAAAAACCCAACCACAACCATTTCAATTACTTGTTCCATAACATGTTGCTTTTGTATTTCTTAGATCGAGTTCAGTTACCTAGAAATATGATTGAAAACAGCATGTTCGAGGAAGAGCCTGATGTGGTTGACTTGGCTAAAGAGCCTAGCTTGCATCCTTTGGAGCCTGATGAAGTAGAATATGAACCAAGAAGTTCTCGTCTTCTTGTACGTGGTCTTGGAGATCATGAAATGGATGAAGATGAAGAAGATTATGAATCGTCATCAGCCAAACTTCTGGGAATGTCTTTCATGAATAGAAGCACTGGCCTGCGTAATAATATGGCTGGTTATAGACAGCGTTCAGATGGCTCATGTTCTCCATCTGTAAGGACCACAGTAATCTGTGCTGTTGTTCTTGTGATAGCTGTGTCTGTAATAATGGCAATCTATCTTCTTCCCAAGTGCACTTTTACCAAAGAAGGTTGTCACAACAAAAACCACACAATGGAAGATATATATCCTTTGGCAACTAATGGAAAGCCTTTTCCATGGGCTCATTTTAGGCTTCCAGGTGCTATTGTTCCAGTACATTATGATATTGTTCTACAGCCAAATCTAACCACAATGAGATTTACAGGTTCTGTTCTGATAACTGTGGAGGTTATTCAGGTTACTATGCATATCATACTTCATAGTTCAAAGCTTAATATTACCAAGGTAACACTTGCTTCACTGGGTTCAAGCCAGCCAAAACCAGCAAATTTTCTGGAATATCCAGTGAATGACCAGATTGCAATTATAGCTCCAGAAGCTCTTCTTGTGGGACAAAAATATAACATCAACCTGGAGTATTCCTCAAATTTATCAGACACTTACTCTGGCTTTTATAAAATTGCATTTAAGAATAGCAGCTCAACAAGGTAAGATTAGAATGGATTTATTTCTGTCTTAACTGGAAAAAAATTATGTGCATGTATTGAAGGAGCGCATAACCCCTCAGGGCTGCATGCAGCTTTTGAAAGCCTTGGATGCAGGCTCCTAAATCGCGGAGAAGTTGTTTCCAAATTTTAAGTTTGGAAATTATTAAAAACAAGGGGAATAATCACACTGAAAAATAGTTTTTGTTAAGCCTCTGTTTTTGTCTTGGGCTTGCTTATTTTTTTGGAGTGTACTCCCACCCTTGGCATACCATTTAACAGCCAACACAGGATATCAGCTGGAAAAAGGTTGCACGTCTCTGATGTACTGTATGATGTAACCCCATTTTAAAGGAACTGTATTATGATTCATTTTCTTCTTATTGATTTATCTTCAGATTTCTCTTCATACCAAGGTAGCTGGCTTCCAGATTAGCACATAGGAGAACTAAAATATTCATCTTTATAGATTAGTTTTAATATTATCTATATTGCTGAATATTAAGGAATCCTATTGTGGAAATAAAGCGCTATTCTTTATTTAGTATCAGAACATCTTAGTGCCACCTGAAATGCACACTTGGCATGCAAAAAATCCCTGATTTAATTCTGGGTATTTTCATGGAAGACTTCTTCCTTGAAATCTAGAAAGACTGCTGCCAATCAGTACTAATAATATTGTGCTAAATAGAATCAAGCAGGCTTATATATGGCTGGGCACTATGGCCATATGACATTTGGCCATTGAATAGGCCATTAAATGTACTAGGCCTAGTTTTCAGGTAATTATAAACCAAAACTCCTGAATAATAATATGGGTTTTGGTTTTGTTAATATAAAAGTTGTTCACTTGAACATTTCGAACTAGAGGAATTAGGATAAGTCATTTTTTTCCTGTTGTAGATGCTGTATAGAGAATTTAATTTTTTTTAAAAAAAATCTAGCTGTATATGTAATTGTTATTGTTAGGATCTTGACCAAAATATGGCTAATGTCAAATGCAATTTGTTTAACTTAATTTTTTTGGAAATAAAATGCATCACAAGGTGGATTAAGCTACAACAGGTAAAAGGAGTTTAAAATGCATTATAAGTATAAAGATGACTTAGGAAGATGCTTTTAAATGTCTTGGATGAAGCGTTATGAAGGCCACATCTTTGTAACAATTCCCTGTGTGCTACATAACTCTTAATATTCATATGGATTCAATGTCCTAGAAATCTGTCAGGTCCTTTTGAATTTCTAGATGGGGTAGCATTTTACTTTTCTTGAACAATTAAAGTAATATGGCTAGGATTGTGTTTTTCGCTCTAAATTTTATTTCTCAACTATGTAATATATATCGATTAAAAAGAAATCAGATTTGAATGCATTTCTTTTATTTTTATCAGTTGGCTTGCAGCAACTCAATTTGAGCCCCTGTCGGCAAGAGCAGCATTCCCTTGCTTTGATGAACCAGCATTCAAAGCCAATTTTCAAATCAAAGTCAAGAGAGAATATCAACACACTGCTCTGTCAAATATGCCAAAGGTATATACTATCCATATTTTTGTGGTCTGATGTTTATACAGTTATATGCTCATGATATGTGCCACAGAACAGGAAAATTGTGTTACTTGGTAAAGAACTTTATGTTATGAGCTTATGTGGCTATTAGTCACATTTTTGTATTTCTCCCCACAATAAAAAAGCAAGATACAGTGGTACCTCGAGTTACGAATTTAATCCGTTCCGTGACTCTGGTTGCAACTCGAATTGGTCGCAACACGAGGCAGATTTTCCCATAAGGTTCAGTGTAATTACCGTTAATCCGTTCTGGCGTGGAGGACAGAGAGGCGGCTATTGCTTGGAGGGAGAGTCAGGGGCAGAAAAATGGCCGCGGACCATGTGTCAGGGGCAGAAAAATGGCCGCGGACCACGTGTCAGGGGCGGGAAAATGGCCGCGGACCACGTGTCAGGGGCGGGAAAATGGCCGCGGACCACATGTCAGGGGTGGAAAATGGCTAC